ATTGATTTCTATCTTGTCAAATTCTGCCATAAGGTATTCCATGGCTTTCTCATTTTTTGATCCTTTTGAATTCAGTATTGTTGACTTCCTAGATAATATGTTGAATCTCAACAATGAGCTTGTTACAACTGTTTTTTCTTCTTATCTTTCAACATGTACCTTCATATCATTTTTTCTCCACCTGTCTAAGAAGTATTTGTCGGTAATTGTGTTGATTTCCTTTTCAATGACTATTTTTAGGATATGAGAGCAGAGTATCCTATCTTTGCTGAATTTTGCACATATGCAGGTAAATTCTTCTTCGCCTTCTGTTAGGTCAGTGTTTACTGTATATCTCCTGAACATATGAACCTCCTAAATCTGGTTACTTTTTTGCCACACCTCAAATATTTACCCATCTTCGATTTTCCTGTAGTTCAGCCATGATGTTGCCTTCAATTATAGCTGGAACTTTTTGAATATGTTTCTGTTGTATAGATGTTGTGCATGTTGCTCTATTATGTAGCCAAATATGAATTCCTTTGGCCTTTTCCGCTTGCTATAGCTGTCCTCCAACCTTTATGCTCGATTTATGGTATCAACAATCCGATTGTACTCTTTTAGAAAACTAATGATACTATAGGTTGGCCCTACATTGTCTTTGAACCTAGCATTTGTTACCTCACTCCAGGATGTGGTTTGTATGAAAGGGAAGAAGTTATTTTTGTAGTAGACCGGGATAAACCTTTTTCTCATTTCCCACATTTTGGAAAAGTAGTTATTCTCTTGAAGGTTTCTTTCCTCAATCATTCTCTTCCAAAGTCGTTCAAATTCTTCCACTCTTAGACTGTTGTTCATTGTATCTTCGAAGTCTTCATATAGTCCTTCGTTTGCTGCAAATACCTTGACTTCTTATTGTAGCATTTGGTCTTTATGTGGAACAAGCAATTTCTGTGCTTTTTGTTTATGAAGACTTGCTCTATTGCTGATTTCATCACCATGTCTTGGTCTGTGATGATCGTTTGAGGGTGTTTTCCTCCCATTGCTTCAAGGAAAGATTGAAATACCCACTTAAAAGTGTCCATTGTCTCATCATGCAGGAAAGCACATCCGAAAAGGCAACTTTGCCCATGTCCTGTGATTCCAACAAATGGTGCAAAAGGTAAGTTGTATCGATTGGTCATATATGTTGTGTCAAAACTTACACATTCTCCATAATCTGCATAATATTTCATAGAAGAACCGTCTGTCCAGAACAAGTTTCTCACTCTCTTGTCCTCATCTAAATCAAACTTGTAAAAGAAAGACGGATCCTCAATTTGTTTCTTTCTGAAATAATCCAATACTTGTGTCATATCTGATCCTTTAACTTCTCTGTTCAGCTTTGTCCTATAGTTGCTGATAACTTTCTTTTTCATTGGTAGAGCTGTAAGCCCCCCTCTCAGATACGATAGAATAGAAACCATCTTCCTAGTCGGAATATTGTTATCATTCAGAGTCTTGATAAGTCCTTTTTCCATTTCTGTCATATACTTGTGACCAAAAAATAGCTAATCCCTATCTCCAGGGCATAGCTCGTGATTATACTCCAAATCAAGAGTTTTAATCTTCCATACAGCTCCTTCTTCTTTCACCATCATAACACAAGGACAATCTAACTTCTGCTGAACATTTGTTTTCCATCTCCTTACCGGTTTCTTTCCAACATCCTTGTCTACTTCATCTTCTTCTTGCTCTAAAGACTTTTGTTCCTTTTCTTTTCCTTGACGATTGCATCTCATTGTCACTTTGACTACCTCATTATTTCTCTTCTTACTTTGAGTTCATGCCTAGTCTTAAATTCCATCGATAGTTGTGGGGTGTACTTGCTGTTGATTGGTGCATTGTTGCCTTCAGATGCTGCAACCTGCTCATTTTTGATGAATTGTTCAATCTCTTCCTCCGTCAGTTCCTGGCTACCATTTACATGCTCATTATCATCCGTTATAGCTGATGTAATATCTAAACTTGTTGGTTCTGTTGCTATGATCCTTAAGTCATTTTCTCCCATTGTTGGTTGATCATCTTGATTTTCATGCTACACCTGTAAATATATTAGCAGCAGTCTTAGTTTCTGAGTAATGTCATTTATAATACAAATAATTTTTTTCAGTGTGGACTGAAATAGGTGAAGAGATCATTTTTTATGTACCTCATCAATGTCCATGTTATTTAATACATCAGTTTGCCAATGGTATTGTTGAATTTCAAATCTATCATCATTAGCTATGCTTGTCGTTGCTCCATCATCATCAGCGACGATTGCCATTTCTCCATCCTATTTTTGAAAAGATAAGTTTTACTTTGATGCCAGTACATATTTGTATTGCTTATAAATGTAATCAAATTGGCTCAGCTATTTGTATCTACCTCATATGACAACCTTGACTCTGATATTGACCAATCAGTTTGTGGTCCAAAGATTCCATCTAGATCTTCAAGGCTCATATTCTGTTTTATTTGTTTGATAATGAGAATGGTTACCATTTATAATATAACACAACTAGTTTAACAAGTATATATAATATAGTTTTACACCATTCCTGTTATTTCCAAGTATCATCTTTGTTAATGATCCTTGCATCTCTTTATGTTGATGCACGGTTTATAATGAAGCATTGAAATTACAGTCCTGTTATGCTGAATTTACATTGCACATATGTGTGTAATTTGCATATGTCTGAATTGTAATTTTTATATACTGGTATTATAAATTTTACCTGCGTATTCCAGTCAGTCTGATTATCTTCCTAAGAGTTCCTGATCTGTTCCATCATAAGTTCAGTGAAGCCTCCCTGTATTGAAATATATTTTAGTTGACAAACAACCTTTTTATCTTGGCATTTTTGAAACTAAGCAATGATTTGCTCACCTTTTTGTATCTGTAGGTATTTGAAAGGTCCACATCAGATCCAGTAAGTATTTCTACATCATAATTGGTGTTCCTACTATGCTCATCTCTGTCATTGTAATCGATGTCTGATAGATTTATCAACATAGAATTTGCAAATGCATTCTTTCCGCCCTGCATTTATTTGACCATATATACTTCTTGACATATGTCTAGTTGCACTATTTAAATAATTATTTAAAGCAATATTTAATCTAGTACCTGGCTAGTCTGGTACATCAATTCTAGTGCTTCTTGCCACTTTTTTATCCCATCTGCTGTTGTGAGATCAAAGTTTGGCTCCGAGTTTTCACTTGCATGTGTATAAGTATATGGCACCTGCAATAGATGACTTACAATTAGTAATGCTAAATTTAGAAGGATTCACTTGTATTCTAGTATGTCTATGTAAAATAGATTTTCATAAACCAAAACTTAATTATTGACATTTATATTACCTGCAAGTTATGCTTATCCATAGTTTAAGTGATCTGTATTACTTCCTACTGATGTCTCAATTTTGCCCTATTGTATACCTACATTTAGAAATAAATGATATGTCATTAGGAGAAAGTTGGAGCATCATAAAGAATCAGTATGCAGTTTTAGTATCCTGCTTGAATCTATACTCTTATTATGTTGAAATCTTGGTTCTGATATTTACATACTCATATTATTGTAAAATAGTGTTGGTGATGCAGACAGCTAAGCAATAGTTGGAGCATCAATTATGTGCAGGTATGTGTCATCAAGGTTTTTGGTCATGCTTGTGTGGTTGTTGAGCAGTTTGTCATTATCTCTATTTACACATTCATGAGCTCCACCATACTGTATATGTATTGACATACATTTACAGTTTAATTGCATTAAGAACACATACTATTTGCACTATTTGAAATGTGCAATTTTTATATTTATGTTTTGTAATTTCATCAATATAATGCATTACACTTAATTTGCATCTAAGATTCTGCAAAAGCTAGCAGGATCTGAAATAGTTGGGTGCTCTAATTGCAAAAGCTAGCAGCATCTAAAATAGTTGGATTGCTGATATACGCTGCTCTTATCTCATGCTCTCTGTTGTGTCATACAATGTAGGAAATTAGCAAGATCTGAAATAGGCTTGTTTGTAGCCTTTAGACCACAATTACAACCCTCCAAGTGCTGGATCTGCTCCTTGTGCAAAGTTAGCAACCAGGGCCACACCCTGCTGTTGGAGCAAGCACAAGCAGCAGGCCATCATAGCCATCCTAAATGTGTAAGGTCTCATGATTACATATTCCATGGATCTAGGTTCTCCTAGTCTTTCTCATCTGATCTGTTAATTTCTTCGTTTTTGCTTCTTCAGAGAAATTGGAATACCAGAAAATTAGATTCAAAAGATTGGTCTACTATCCTTGGCTGATGAGGTATGAATCAAACTTATAGTGCTTGTTCTTCAAATTTCTTGTTGTTCTTGTTTGCAATCATATTTCTGCCCCTTTCCCATGCTCCGCGTGAGCAGAGCAGAGCCTTTTCCACGCAGAGCATATCTGTTTTCTTTATTTTCTTCTTTCCCAAGTATATCTAATATATTCCTATCGATTTTTGCTTTTGGGCTTTCATTATGGGCTCCGTAGTTATTGGACTCTACTATTTTACTCTCAACTGCAGAGAAATTGAACATAGATCTGCTCTGCGTGGGCCTTCTTTTGCTGTTACAAAACAGCCATTGGATTTACATCTAAAGGTGGAACAATTCATGTGCTACAGGTACCTAAAACACATGGATTTATCTCTGAATAAAATCGAGTGTTCTAGGGCCAGCAAACAACCGAGTGCTGGCTTCTACTAAAACACACAGATTTGTCTCTGTTGGAAATCATGTGTTTTACTTGCAGCCAACAACCGTGCTGGCTTCTGCTAAAACATACGGCTGTCCAGTATACAGACTCTTCTGAATAAACTACGGATTAAAAAGATGCCTTATTCTTGGTGAAATCACCAGGTTCTGGCTATATAAAAGGCCACCTGGGCAAAGAAACCAGCTATGATCATTCAGTTCAGTAGCAAGCTAGCTAGCCAGCCAGGGGAAGCGTTGCGCTGTTGTGATATGGCTCACGCTCATGGCCACTACGAGGAGCTGCTGCCGGCGAAGTCTCCTCCACAGGTGTCCCTAGTGCTCTCTGTCCTGCTCGTCTGTCCTCTTCTCGTCCTCCTCGTGCGCCGCTGCTTTGGAACGACGACGCCGTCGACGGCCACGGCAAGAGCCAGAGAACAGCTGCTGAGCAAGATGCCTTCGCCTCCAAGCAGGCTACCCATCATCGGCCACCTGCACCTTGTTGGCCCCCTACCACACATCTCTCTCCGTGACCTCTCTGCCAAGCATGGCCGTGATGGCCTCATGCTCCTCCACCTCGGTGCCGTCCCTACGCTCATCGTCTCCTCGCCGAGCGCCGCGCAGGCCGTGCTCCGCACGAAAGACCACATCTTCGCGTCCAGGGCCTACTCCCCAGTCATCGACATCCTCTTCTACGGCTCCACGGACGTCGCCTTCTCCCTGTACTGTGAGCACTGGCGCCAGGTCAAGAAGATTGCCACCACGCACCTCCTCACAAACAAGAAGGTCCGGTCCTACTGCCATGCACGCGAGCATGAGGTAATTAATAACCATGCGTCAATTTCAGCAATCACTAATATATTGTTCCATGAACGAAGATGATTATTGCCAGAAAATAACTCACAACAGGTGAGGATGGTGGTGGCTAAGATCCGCGAGGCGGCCACCGCAGGCACCGCTATCGACCTGAGTGAACTGCTCAACGCCTTCGCCAACGACATCGTGTGTCACGCTATGTCTGGCAAGTTCTTCAGAGAGGAAGGCCGGTACAAACTTTTCCGGGAGCTCGTCGAGGCGAACTCGTCACTCATAGGAGGTTTCAAACCTAGAGGACTACTTCCCGGTGCTGGTGAAGCTGGACATCATCAAGAGGATGATGTGTGCAAAGGCACAAAAGGTGAACAAGATGTGGGACGACTTGCTCAATACGCTCATCGATGACCATGCAAGCAAGCCAGCGTCAGAGCGTGACGGGGAGGAGAGTGACTTCATCGATGTCTTACTCTCCCTTCAACAAGAGTACAACCTCACGAGAGATCACATTAAGGCGCAGCTGGTGGTATATGTGGATATGACCTAACCCACAACTATTATATACATTATAAACAATCATATATATGTTGTCGATTCTTATATATGTATCCATATGTATGTAGGTAATGTTTGAAGCTGGCACAGATACATCATTCATAGTGCTAGAATATGCGATGGCTCAGCTCATGCAAAACCCCTGCCTCATGAAGAAGCTACAAACCGAGGTGAAAGCACTATAGCCAAGGAAAAAGAAATAGTTACCAAAGACGAGCTTAACAGTTTAGCCTACCTAAACGCAGTCATCAAAGAGACACTCCGACTCCATATGCTGGCACCCCTCCTTTTGCCCCACCTCTCCATGGCCGATTGCAACATAGAAGGATACACGATGCCATCGGGAACACGTGCCATTGTTAATAGCTGGGCTCTTGCAAGGGATCCTAGCTATTGGGAGAAAGCGGACGAGTTCATGCCTGAGCAGTTCATGGAAGGAGGTAGCGCCGCAGCTATGGACAATAAGGGAAACGATTTTCAATACTTGCCATTTGGGGCAGAGCGAAGGATATGCCCAGAGGTATAAACTTTGCAAGTTCAACTATCGAAGTCATGCTCGCAAACCTTGTCTACCACTTCAATTGGGAGCTACCTATGGAATGGCGAAGAAAGGCATCGATATGACCAAATCATTTGGGCTAACAGTGCATCGTACGAAGAAACTCCTCCTTGTTCCTATAGTTCCATAAGATTAAGGCATTAGTCTATAGAGTCCTTTATGTACGCAATAGATCAAGGACTTGACTATGCACTACCTATCCTAATTGCATCATACTTGTGGGATTTCGACTTCTTGTTAAGCATGTATACTGAATAAAAAAAGCATGCATTGCACATTACTACAGGAAAGATTTTCGGATGCAGGCATTTTCTATTAATAGAGGCGGACAGCACATCGCCTCTAGTAATTGATCACTGTTAATCGCCCACTTCCAGAGGTGGGCACGCAACCAACTCTGTAAATCGATAAACAGATGTCCGCCTCTGTTAATGTCATTTAACACACTGTTTAGCCAAAACACCTCCCTAACACAATACCACACACTCATTTATGACTATATATAGGATGTTATCTATTTGTATTCACATTTCGTAATCTTATATTAAATAGTTTGGCTACTAAATAAATACAGATCAAAAAAGTTTCAACTAGAAAGTTTTAAAATTTTTCAAGCACTACAACTTTAGTATAAGATTTGTCTCCAACAGAGATTGTTTGAAAAAAAATCAATATTTTGAATCTCAAAATATGTTAACTTAAAATAAATATTTAAGACACTAAAAAACTTCAAATTAAAAACCTATGAACATCAAGCATGTAGATCAGGTCAGCCACTACAACGTTGGTACTCCCTCCATTCCAAATACAAGATGTTTTGGCTTTTCTAAATACATAGTTTTTATGCGTGCACTTAGATATGCACTATATCTAGATACAAAGTAAAAATAATATATCTAGAAAACAAATGCATCTTATAAATTGAAATGGATGGAGTATTAACTATGTAAACATTCAAGGTTGTTTAGAAATTATAAAACTTGAATTTTAAAATCTATGAATTTAGAAGACATATTTGGGACTCTAAATGACTTCAAATAAAATAATCATCTATAAAGTTATAGACTGTATTGAAAACTAGAACTTCGGTCTAGACCATATCAGCATATGAGGTTGTTTGAAAATTTTAAATTTTATATTTAAATTTTTCAAAACTTAAAACAATATTTTGGGACTCTAAACAGTTTCAAATCACTGTTTAGAGTCCCAAAATATGTTTAGTCCCAAAACTTCTAAACTTTGTAGTTTAATAAGCTTTTGATTTGGGACTCTATGCGACCTCAACTTTGTAGTTGATAAGTTTTTGATTTAGAACTGTTTAGAGACCAAAAATATTTTTTAAGTTCATGGATTTCCAAACTAAAAATTTTCAAAACAACCTCAAATAATGTTGAGGTGATCTATACCAAAGTTGTAGTTCTCAATAAAATTTACAACTTTTTATTTAAAAGTTTTTTATTTGGGATCGTTTAGAGTCCTAAATATATTTTCTAAGTTCATAAATTTTGAAATTAAGGTGTATCTACACTGATGGTTCATAGCCATAGGCCCAACATATATGTTTGTACTAGCGTCTACTCTTTATGAACCCCACAAATATATGTTTGTATTAGCGTCTACTCTTTATGAACCGCCTGTGAAAAAAAAACTCAGGTGTTAGCAAAAACCGTTTCTATATTAGTATTAGTTAATCTCTCTCAACCCTTTAAATATGCTCGTAGAGGTAAAGTGTGTGTATGTGCGTTCACAGAGGATAGGGAGAGGATAGGGACGAGTGTGGTCATCTACGGTGTGATTAGAAAGAGAGAGAGAAAAGACCACAACTTTTTTATCCGAAGCACCTGCAAACATGCCCCGGGCAATCCCGATGCGATTACTAGATTCTAAGCGCCAGCAGCTAGCAAACAGCATGCCCTGATGTGATTGATTTTGGACAGCGATACGATCTTCAAAGTATAACTTTAACTTCTTATTTCTATAAAAATATTTATTGAAAAGTGATATATGTATATTTTTATAAAAGTATTTTTTAAGATAAATCTATTCATATGGTTTTTATATTTTCAAACTCAACATCTTAATAGTTATTTATGATTTATATTCCTAATGACTCAAGCATCGTCGAAAATGACTTCCTTTACCGACTAGAAGGGAGTACATCTGTTTGTCAGTTTGTGCAAAGACGCACGTACTATAAATAAACTTACTTGCGCTATACTAGTCCGGCTGCTTCAATCAACTTTATAATGTACTTACAGTAACTCCATCGGTCAAATCGGCCTGCCACTGTCGTTTGATTGCTGCTTTTTCGTCGTCAGTCGTCACTGATATATGAAGTTCCAGGTACAAGCATGCGCATACATGGTACATGCATTATACTTATATATGATGATATTTTTTTGTCTATTTGTGAAACGATATAGATCGATCGATATGATTACCTTTTATCCATTAATTGTGAAACGATATAGATCGGTCGATATGATTAAGTTTTGTCTATTTGCCAAACGATATGGGTGGATGATAACGAGTATAGAAAGTCAACGACACTGGCGCCTTGGAAAACTTAATAGTAACATCAATTATTGCCTTAGTGAATGTCAATATCATTATTTCGTCAGAGAAGAATGATATGTTGACTTCGTACTCCCTCAGTCTCTAAATAAATAGATTTCTAGAGTTGTTTTAAGTTAATTTTTTTAAATTTTGACCGAATTTTTAGAAAAAAAAACATTAAGAGGTATTGAATTAGTATCACTGGATTTTTCATAGAATATATATTTTCATAATGTGCTCATTTTATGTGTTATTACTCTTTTCTATAAAGTTATTTAAACTTAAAAAAACTTGACTGGCACACATATTCTAGAAATTGATTTATTTAGAAACGGAGAGAGTAATGTATATCTATGGTTAATAATTCTTGGCTACTACTCCCTCCGTTCCCATATACCAGGCGTGTGCTAGTTTTTTTGTTTTGGCCACAATAGGAGGCGTATTGGAGTATCAATGGTGCAATTAATTACTTCTGTTGGCTAATGTGGCAATTAATAACTCAAAATGGAGCGTTGCATGTATACGTGGCCAGCCTCCATTCATCGCACGCACTAGTTTGGCCGCATGAGAGCAAGGCTAATAATACGATCGGCTTCGTGCCAGTCTTAATGATGGGTTTCATTTCTCAGTTACCAAGACTGTCACGACTAGGGATGACAAATGAAACTATCTCTCTCATTGGGAAGTTTCATTTTACTGTTTCCAAGACAAGCTGCAGAGTTAACATGTGCATGAAGTTGTGATCCTGTACCACGTAAACTATGTAGCCATTAAGTAAATATATCTTAAACTAAATATAATCTTAACTACAATATATCTATGCAAATAATAATCATATAAAATAAAATATATTAATTAATTCAACGTTCATGAGTGCATACCCATATATTAAAACGACCACATAATTTAAACGGTTTACATTTTATATCTCAAATTCAAGATATATTTTGATGGCGTCGAACTTGTTCCAATATATTTCCACCAAATCTTTCTTCAACCGATGATGCGCCCGAATGATCCCGAATGTCACTATCTTTCTCTAAAACTCTTTCAAATGTAACATATTGGTCGGGAGAGAATTCCGATTCTTCGACAATCACTGTACTTGGAGCCTCATTAAAATCAAGATTCTCTTCCAGGTCATCTTCCTTTTCATCTTCAACAATCATATTGTGAAGTATGATGCAAGCTAACACAACATTGTGGAGTTGATTCCGGTCATATAGACGAGCTGGTTGTTTTAAAATGCAAAATCGTGGCGCAATACACCAAAGGCCCGTTCAGTATCCTTCCTTGCTCCTTGTTCTTGTGCATATAACTTATCCTTTTCGGAGAT